AAAGAAAGTTTGGAAATCTTTTTATATCAAAATAAAACTGATGTTATATTTTTATCAGAATCCTGGTTCAAATGGAACCGACGGTACTATTTAAAAAATTACAATATAATCAGAACTGACAGATATGACGGGAAAGGTGGAGCGGCTATAATTATTAACGAAAGAATTAACTATCAGATTGTAAATATAGATATTGGAGAAATAGATATAAACAAAGTCCAATTATGTGCAATATCAATAATATTAGGAGATAAAAAAATATATTTGGTATCAATATATATATCGCCAGGTACACACGTTACGAAACAACAATGGAATTATTTATTTGAGAATATTCCTAGACCGTTCATTATAGCTGGAGATGTAAATGCACATCACCATTCCTGGGGATGTAACTATAATGATAATTACGGAATGAATTTAATGGAATCAATTGAAGAGTGTAATTTATTTGTATTAAATAATGGTTCCCCAACACTTGTGTTTAAAAACACTAAAACTGTAGTTGATGTTACAGTGTGCTCTTCTGAAATATTTCATTTAATAACATGGAAAGTAATAGAGGAAAACTTAGGCTCTGATCATTATCCTATTTATTTTTATTTGGATATAGTGAGAAGTAACAGGATATTGATTCCCAATAGAAAATGGAATTGTGGTAAAGCTGATTGGCAAAAATATAAAATAATGATTGAACATGAAATCTTATCATTGGGCAATCATTTAGATGGTAACATTTATGAAAAATTCACAAATATTATAAATCAAACTGCGGAAAAATGTATACCAATAAATAAAATGTTAACAACATCTCAAGTGAGGAAACCAGTGTGGTGGGATGAAGAATGTTTTAAACTGGTAGAAGAACGAAGAAAAGCAGAAAAGAACTTTAGAAGAAATTCGAGTTTAGAAAATTTTCTTCAGTGTAATAAAATTAAAGCTAAAGTTCGGAAAGAACTAAAAATAAAGAAAAGAGAAAGTTGGTGTAAATTTGTCAACAATCTAAATCCTAATACCCCATCTAAAATTATTTTTAAAATGGTTAAATCAATGAACAATTATATTTCACAGAATGAGAAGAATTCAGAATTGATTAATGATAAAGTAGTGGAAGAAGTAGTTGATAATATTGCGCCCTTTGGAGTGGGTGATGATATTTGTAAATATCTTAAAGGAAATAGAGTAACAGGTTCGGTAGAAAAGTCATTAATTAGACCATTTTCATTATGGGAATTAGAAAAATCTTGGAGCAAAATCAAAGATACTGCTCCAGGATTAGACAACATTCATTATTCTATGTTAAAAAACCTTCCACAGTCCGGAAAAGAAATTCTACTCAAAATTATTAATAAGTATTGGCTGTCACCGAATGAAATTCCTGATTGGAATAAATTTAGAGTTATTTTAATTAAAAAGAAGAGCAATAATTCTGATGATAGCAATGCATATAGACCAATTACTTTGGCGTCATGTATTGCTAAAATAAAAGATAGGATGATAAAAAGAAGAGTCGAGTGGTGGATTGAAAACAATCAGTTACTGCCCAAAAGCCAATTTGGCTTTAGAAAAGGATTAAGCACACAAGATAGTCTAAGTATATTTTCCACAGACATACATCTAGCCTTTTCAAGAAACACTTATGTCGTTGCACTGTTTTGCGATATAAAGGGTGCATACGATAATGTGGTGCCGGGAAAATTAGCAGAAAGTCTTGTACATGCTGGCTTACCAGAAAAATTGATCAAAGCTATGGTATATACTACCTTTAATAGAGAAATAGAAGTTAAAATAAATGAAAATGCAAGGATTGGAAGAGTTCTTCGACAGGGTCTACCTCAAGGAGCTATCCTTAGTCCTTTATTATATGCTCTATATGTACGGGATATAGAAGGTATATGGTTGGAAGGTACAAAAATTCTACAATATGCAGATGATTTATTGATCTATATTGAAAAAGATAATTTGAAAGAGGCCATCGATATGATGTCTATGAATATGGAATTGCTGCATATTTGGTTGAATGAGAAAGGTCCGGAACTATCAGATGATAAAAGCTCCATAGGAATATTTACGAGGCATTCCAACAAAAAGTTCCCAGCTTGTATTTCAAGTCCATATAATAAAATTAAAATTCATTGCAACAATAAATTCCTAGGTATATATTTTGATCAAAAAATGACTTTTAAATATCATATGAATTATATTAAAAAAAGAATTGAAAAAAAGACCAGTTTAATGAGACTGATAAACAGTGATTGGTGGGGTTCACACCCTATCACATCTATTAATTTATATAAAACCATAATTAGATCAATACTGGAATATGGTAGCATAATTTTTGGACATTCGAATATGGTAAATGAGCTTGAAAAAATTCAATACAAATGTTTAAGATTTTGCGCAGGTATGATGAGATCGACACCAACAAATGTACTGTTATTAGAAACTGGTGTTATGCCACTAAAAGTCAGATATGAATGGTTGAGTGACAAATATATGTTGAAAAAAATTAATTTTAATTCATCTGAAATATATGACAGAATTAATGATTTAAATAATGAATGCGAACGTAATATTTATTGGCTGAATAAAAAAATACCTATTATTATTCAGAGTTTTAGAGAAGTAATTAAATATCAAGAAAGTATGTATTCATTTAGCATTCATCCTTATTATAATAAAATATATTTTGACAGTTGTATGTTTGATAATATTATAAATATCGATTTATTAAAATCTGATAATAATAATCAAGATGCAGAAGTTATATTTACGGATGGATCGAAGGATATGGACAATGTAGGTTTTGCTATATATAAAGAAACCGATCAAACAAGTGAATGTTACAAGTTACCAGGGTGTGTTTCTGTCTATACAGCGGAGTTATTTGCAATTAATTAAGGAGGCCATAAGAAAAGCTAAAGAACAGAATTATAATAAAACAATTATAATTACGGACAGCATGAGCTGTATCAATAAATTACAAGTGTTTTTTAGAGATCTAAATTTAGAAGAAAAAATTTATTTTGATATCTTGCAAGATTTGGAGAAAATTAAAGAAAATGGAAAGGATATAAGAATAGGATGAGTAAAAGGTCACTCCGGAATTTCAGGAAACGAAAAAGCTGATGAATTAGCCAAATACGCTTGCTTAAAGGGAATGGAATATAACCAAGTATTAAATAAAGATATAATAAAAGTTATGAAAAATAAAGCAGTTAATAAATGGAAAACGAATTGGCAAATAACATCAAGATATAAAGGAAAATATTATAAAGGGGTTAACGACTTTGTTAAAAATGTACCTTGGTTTTATCAATTCAAAAATGAAGATAGATACTTTATAAGTACGATGAACAGAATAAGGTGTAACCATGGACAGTTCCCAGAACACCTGTTCAAAATAAAGATGAGAGAGTCAGCTATTTGTGACTGTGGGAAGGATGTTGGATCTTTGGAACATATAATTTTAACTTGCAGCAGATATCAAGAAAATAGGGATTATTTATTATATGAATTATATAGAATTAAAAATTTAGTTAAACCATTTAATTTATTTAGTTTACTGTCAAATATTGATTATTATAAAATTATTTATAATTTTTTAGTTAAATGTAAAATTAGAATATAAATGTAGGAAACTTTGTATATGGCTAGTTTGTAAATAAGAGGCCAAATAAAATAAATAAATAAAAAAAAAAAAAGTCTGTAAATACCCTAAAATAGCACCCAAAAAGTTGTCTCAAAATCTACATATGGTACGAATACCCTACCATATGTAGGTTTTGAGACAACTTTTAGGGTGCTATTTTAGGGTATTTACAGAATTACAGCTGGGAATAATGACTGGACTATTATTATCTTATTATTCAACCTCGTCATTCAAGACGCGAATATAAATCTTACAAAATGTTCTGAGAGTCCAATTTTTTCATTTCTTTTGTTAATAACAATAAGAACATTTATATTATTTTTAAACTATACACACAGTACATTCAGCTATTTTACAGGTATATTAATTATATTCAATGAGTTATTTTGATTTACAATAAATGATTATAATTATAGATAGTAGTTTGGGGTATTTATAGATAGATACCTTAGTGTTTAATTACAATTAGATACAATTTATTGGATCAAGTAAATAGGCCAATTTTTAAGTCTTTAATTCTGGTGTAAGGAGAAGCGGAGCAACGAGTGAATTGTTGTGATTTTCTCACTTGTGATTAGGATTAGTGGATCTTGTTTTTATAAAGCATTTAATATATATTTAGCATATTCTGATAATTATGCAGAGTTATATTGCTCAGGTACCAGAGTGCACATGTAATCATTCTAAGTAGATTTGTGTCTGCTGTACCAACCCCATATTAGATTTGCTAGAGCAGAGCCAAAGCTCTATTCCGTATGACCAGATTAGAATTATCATGGTTTTATGACCCAAGATTTTATTTTCGAGTGCTAAATTTGAAGTATGTCCGATAAACTAATAAAGTTCCCTAACTCTTTAATTGAGAGTTTTAATTTTTGTTGACATCTGCTGTTTACATGTTAGTCTGCTGACTAGATGCATACCTAAGTATTTAATATAATCTTGGTATAAACACAAGTGCTTTCGACATAATGTATATTCAATTTATTTAACAAATTTACAACAAAACACTTTCTTGGTTTATGCATAGTAATGTATCTGGAAACCAGTATAATTCACCGCAAAATTGATAAGTCTCCGGCGGTGCTAAGAACATATTTCCAGCAAAGCTTAATTGTCGAAGAGGCAAAATCAGACAACCATCAATATGTATGCCGAAGAGTGTTCACGTGACAATTCGTGCACTCATTTAAAGCAATGCTTCAACAATAGTGGTTGTCCTTTTAATGATAAATGTTATAGCTTTACCCGGCACGGCCTAAATTTTTGCAGCTATTCATAACACACCTAGCCTCGACACGTCTTCGCTTCTTCTACTCCGTACGATTTTATCTGATTTTAATCTCACCTTTCTCAGCACGCGCGATATCTTGTCGCCGTGTTCCCAGCCTCTCGTCGTGTTACAGTCGAGGCCTCGGGAACCGTTGGTGGGGCCGCCACGTTTCACGCTACCGCGGAACGTGTCCGGCTTCTTGCGCAGCATCTTGTTGAACGCCTCCACCAGGACGAAGACCGCGTCGTACATCAAAGCGGCCTGAGCCTGCGAATATTAAAGATATACACAATTAGTTTTTTATTCATATTAATTTAAATAACCGTGTTTAACAATAATAAATATTTTAGGCTCAGTCTCGGGCAGTGCTGGATTTGCAGTAGGGGCAGTCGGGGCTAGGGAGGCAAAATATGGAAGGTAGTTAATTATATTGTACAAAAAAAAATTCTCTACAATATAATTAACTAATTCTTCTTAATAACACTTTTTATTTCAAGAAATCTAATTACCTGAACATAATACGATTATAATTTTGCGTTTTCTCGACGTTTGAAGTCATTCTGAATCGAATGAGATCAAATTTGGAAAAAGTATGTGTATAAGTGTATATGTGAGCCAATTTTTGACCTTTCGTCGAAGTTTTCTCAAAAACGCCTTGACCGATTTCAAAAATTATAAAGCCATTTAATGTAACTCGATAATGAGTTTTGTTCCTCAGTTTTGTGCGAAAATATTTTGTCTACTTTTTAACCGAAAATTGTGAAGCGATTTCAAAAATTCAAAACATACACATTTCGGGTAATTTTACGCTAAAATTATTTTTAGTTTGTTTTGTTATTATAGTATGTAATGCGTAATAAATTTTCTGCAATCAAATAGTTACTTTAATTTTAGAAAAAATGAGACATAAAAACTATTTAAGTAAAATTTCAGGCATCGGGCGGCATTTTCGTCAGTACTCCAGAGCGCCAAATTTTTAAATGTGGCCCTGGTCTCGAGTAATAACTAGTGTTGTGTATTGCTTTGTTTCTTGAACAAACTTTTGCAATGTGACACGTTGAAATCATTTGTAAAACATTAGAACTTTTTAATATCTCGAAAAATGTTAAATTCTGGAAAAGATGAAATATTTCAAAAATGTGGAATAATTCAGTATATTTGAAAATTTAGAATAATTTGGAGTTTATGGAAATTAGATCATACTTAAAATTAGATTACAAAATTAGATCATACTTAAAATCATACTTTGAATAGATGTGAATTTTCATTTGGTAAGATTCTGCCATAATAAGACCAATGTTACGGCAAGGCTATGTTATGTAGCAGTTTTAATATAAAATAATACTAAAAGAGGAGGTATGTCTGTGCGTCTGTGTGTGTGATTGGTATACATTCATAAGCCATACTTCCGATCAGCGTGAAAATTTGAGAAATTATTAAGTAAATCTCGAGACAGGTTTTTGGATATTTTAATTGAAGCTGAATAGTAGGATTTAATTCCATTTTTTTTTTATAATGCGTATACAAAAAACACATATAACCCTAAACGTTCAACCTCCTACCAGAAACCCCTATTTTGTAAGAATTATTTACAATATTTAATAGCAATTTATCTTTGTTGATAAACCATACGTTCGATTGCCGTGAAAATTTGGAAAATTGATAGTTAAATCCCCGGATATTTTGATTGAAGCCAAGTCGTAGGGGTTTGTCGTCCTGAAGACTTCTTATTTTTTCGGTCAATTTAATTTTTTTTAATATTTTTTATAATGAGTATATAAAAAACACATCCCTAAAATTTGAACCTTCTACGAAGACAAAAAAAAATGGTAGACTAGGTGTATCAAATATGCATTTTTGTTCGCATTTTTAATTGAAAATAAAACATGGCAAAGCGTGAATGGGTACAGCTAATATATATATATATATATATATATATATATATATATATATATGTATGTATATATAATGCGTATCAATAAATTTTAAACGCTTTGATTCAACGGTTATGAATTATATAAGCACCTTTAATTCTGATTTTTCTTTTGATAAATGACTTCGGTAGTGAATCACAAGATCACAGGGAAAAGTAAAAGGAAAAAAATGCAATAAAATACGGAACGTAGGTAATGCTGTTAATATTTTATTTGACGTTTTGAGTTGTTTTGATGCTGCTGTATTTAGACGTCGTTTAATAAATCATGTGACATATGACTGCTTTTTTGAACGAAGATATGCTTGAGACGCCGTAAACTGTGATACAATATATATATATATATATATATATATATATATATATATATATATATATATATAGCTTAGAATCCTGAATTAATTTTAAAACCTCAAAAACTGTTCGGAAGATGTTATTTAGGAATCGTGTTCATCAGTTTTGAGCAAAGATTGGTCGAGTCGTTCTCAGTAATTAACTGTTGAGAATTGTTTGTCGTTATGTTTATAGATAACATGGTTCTAAACAACATACAAAAACATTACGGCTCTAAGACAGGTAGTTCAATTTTAAAAATTCATCATTGTTTGAAAAAAATATGATAGTTAAAATTAGCATCAAATGACGCTTTGTGTTGTTATAAGTCAATCATATCAATTAGAAATAGCTTTGGAACTAGCAAAAATGTAAGTAAGCAGTGAACAAAACTTTTCTGGTTGTGTAATGTTACCATTAATTAACTTCAAGTAGGGTAAGTTATAGTAATCGCAAAAAAATGGAAAATGAAAATTTTTATATATTTTTACGTTTCAAAGGTTTCTGAATATTTTGGCATACCTTAGAAAAAATGGATGAATGTGTGTGTGCGCGGATACAAATTTTCGTCGACGACTTCGGGAACACCGATCAACCGATTTGAATAATTCTAAAAATATTCGATTCGTATTGATAAGGAGACGTGCTGGTTAGTTTTTGGACAGGTCTAGCCGTTCCGAAGATACGGGGCAAAAAGTGGCAAAAACAATAAATCAGTTTTTAAGACAACGGAGCGCCCCATTCTAATCATTCAAAAAAATTATTTGTATTGACAAGATGAAGAACTGATTAAATTTTTGGAAAGCGTCCAGCGGTTATGGACTCCCAATAAAAATAAGTTAAAAAAATCATTTGGCGGTCAAAAATGTTTATTGGACATTTGTACATCAAATTATCAGATATTTTATAGAAATTTTAATGTGTACACATTTTGTATAATTTTTTTGGGTTCCGTACCCAGGTTTTTAATTATGGTGCGGGAAGTTCCAGCATTTTGCCTCAAGGCACGATGCCACGCACCCCACTAGTTTAAATAATAATATAATATCAAGAACTAAGTACATGATATATGTAATCGTGCCAGTATTTTCTTACAGCATATGCTTGATATTTCACAAAAATTGATCAAGTTTCTTAAAAAAATACTTCACATTTTTCATGAAATATAACATGGCGATAAAGTTCATGCACTAAATAGTCCTACAAACATTTTTTGAATTAAATACAATAATTAATATTTAAAATGATAAGATACAATTTTAGGGCATACAACCATGTGTTTGTATACTATAATTAATAATTCAATTAATTACAGATATTATAAATGTGTTTGAGAGATATCAATTGAAAATTGCAATGTTTAAACTGTTTGGAAGCAAAAACTTTATTTTGTAATAAACAATAGAAAAATTTATCTAAATATTTGGGTTACAAACACTTCTAGTTAAAAACTGATATATAAATTATTATCTCCAACCCATAATACCTACTAGAGAATCTTTATATCGAACATATTGCTTAGTAGAATTTATTATCGCAGGTCGTACCTGAGATAAAATGATTATCTTATGGCTATTTTTATAACTTACTGAAATTGAATCTCTTCCTGGACTTTGCGCAACTTGCGGATCCATTCGCCTACGTGCGTCGAGGAAATCTTTGACGTAGCGTCTAGACGTGTCTACGATGCGAAAGCCGGTTATATTGATTGCTCCATATTCGATCACTTCGCTTTCCCAACTGTCATCCATTATCTGTAAATTATAAATGAACATAAAAGTTATTTTATGTAGGACGGAAATTGATCTGCGAAATGTTATAAACTCAGCAGCAGGCCGAGTTGTTGAAATCGACAAAAATTTGATGATTTTCCGACGTTATTATGACTCGAGTTTGAGGTGATGGAAACATGTAATCATATGGATGTTTGGACAATTTATACCGGTTTTTCATTCAATTTACAACCGCAAAAATATGCTAGCTCCAATAAATTACACTGATTATACTAATTTGGTTTGAAGCACAACGAAATACATTCAAATCCAAAAAATCAACAATTTTATCAAATTAAATCTAGTATATGTCATATGTATATATATGGGATAGAGCGGAGCTTAAAGGTCAGTGAGTAAAAAAAAGTTCACCACCGATACTTCAAAGTATAGTTAAGTGTATTAACAACAATATTTGAAAGTAGACGAAATAATATGTATATTCAGCCGTCATCTTGATTATTGCAACGTCGCTATCAGTATATAAATGACAATTTTTGAAAATCCATGACAAAAGTTTTATCTATTTTCGTTAGTTCTTTTTTGTACGTTTAGTTTACAAAACCTTAAAATATTTTTTAAGTATACGTTAATTAAATATTTTATAATTTGTATTGTTAATTATAGGTTAGATCCAACTGTTTTTTTATATAAGCTATGTAAAAGTTTACACCTTGGCGGGGTAAAGTGGACCAACTGAACCTTTACCCTGGCAAAGGTGTAAAAAAAAAAGAGTGCGCGTAAGGTTCACACGCGATTGAAGTAAAACTTGTTTACTACTGTACAAGATGGCATTTAAGTACAAAAATAAATACATCATACACAAATTTTGATTTATAGTAATATAATAACACTAGTGATGCACACAATTTATTAGTGTCAACCATTATACACATTAAAATAATGATAAATTATAAATTATACATTTATAATAGCAATAAAAATATGTATAATATTCAAAATAATAATGTAATTAAAGTCATACTTCAAATATGACATGATCGGTTTGTCATTGTAATTAGCATTTAGAAATCAACCTTTTTTAGAGAAATGAGGTAATTGCTGATCAATAACTTCTATATACTTAGTTCACACAGCGGATTATGTTAAACAACGCCTAAGCAAATATTGTTTTTGCAAATTCACTCATCATGTAATTGTGTTTCAAGAACTTCATGTAATTAAAATTAACATACATTCATTGGCTGCTTGTATTTTTTTACTTTTTCGCTGGCGATATAATCTCATTCTTTAAACAGCTGTAATATTTTAACCCCTTGTCTGGGGTTTAATTGAGTTAAATAAAGCAACTTTACAAAAGATAAATTGAATAAATAGTTATTACAACTCTGCTGGTGAATGTTTCTGACAAAATACTAGATCTTGGTTATCTTCAGGATTATCTCTATAAAAATTGCACGCATAAAATTTATATTTTGCATTAGTTGAGTAATGTAGTCATTAGTTGAATAATGTTTGTAAAATCGCTTTAAAATTGACAACACATTGCACCTGTTTTCCCATTTTTAAATTATGAAGTATATATATATATATATATATATATATATATATATATATATATATATATATATATTAGGATGGTCCTTAAAATGGAATTTTCGAATTTTCTTACTCCCAGGGGCTCAAATGGTTCCAAATAGATAAAAAACAATTCTCTAAAAATTTTAGCTCTCAATATTAACATTTAGATAGAGCGCAATTCAATCAAAGTTTTGTATGGAAATAGTATGAAAAAATTTTCAAAAATTTTAAAAATGTTTTTAAATGTAATTTAGCAAACAAATGAATGAATAAAACTCATTCATTTGTCGCTAAGTTATACCTAAAACATTTTTTTTTAATTTTCAAAAAAAAATTCATGCTCTTTCCATATAAACTTTGATTGAATTGCGCTCTATCTAAACGTTAATATTAAGAGCTAAAACTTTCAGAGAATTGTTTTTTATCTATTTGGAACCATTTGAGCCCCTGAGAGCAAGGAAATTCGAAAATGACCATTTTAAGGACCACCCTAATATATATATATATATATATATATATATATATATATATTCTACTTATATAATTCATAAAATAAGAAATTTGTGAGGTTATACATATATGATATTAGTTTGTTTATAAGAAAATTTGCAGTGTGCAACATATTGTGCACAAATAAATAGACGGACTAATTAAATCTTATATTATTCGTTTGTAGTTCCAACAATTCTATACAGCTAGCTAAATAACATACTAGGCACTTCTTTACTGTATTTTCTAAGACTATATTTTAAAACAAGAGTTTAAAAAGTTTTTTCAAGAATAAGTAAACTGCATAGAAAAATTATATACCAACTGCGTTATAAGATCTATGGCTATTAAATTTAAAAATATAATCTAAAGGCTGTATATATATACATATATACATATACTTCATACCTCATCACATTGCATATTATTAAAACAAAAACTTAAGCCAAAGTTATGTACACGCTGCAATTTAAAGTTAGCTATTCTGTTAAACTGTATCCTGAGACATAATGTGATTTCTGGAGCTCTTCCCATATATACACTGATTAACCTCATCAATTTCAATATTATATTCACTTATACAACATAGATATATTAAAATCAAAGGTGATATATAATACACACACTGATACTAATCGATCCTCATATGTTAGTCCTATTTATAATCCTTTTGTTTTAAACTTCTATAACTAAATTACTTTCATACCTAGTTTCTAAATTGATTCATGCATCTAAGTAGTCACATATTTTCACTAAAGTGTAAAATTAAAGCAAAAAAGTTTACAACAAAAATCATGTTTTTTTTTATTTAGGTCACGTCCAATTCAATTAGTAGCTTGTAATTTTAACCATTGGTGAAAATCGTATAATTCTAATACGTCTATTTTTGCAGCTACTATGTCATAATATTTTAAATAATTAACATACTTCAGTCCTTTAAATTGACCTAAGTTCTTTTTTTCATCCTCAATTGTGTCCATATTTTCTTGGTGATATGACAAAACCAACTACCCTATATATTATATATATATATATATATATATATATATATAAAATCTGTGAATTTGGGAGTATTCATGAAACTTTTATCCAAATATCATGTTTAAATAAAGAACACCTGTGTCGTAATCCAAGAGATTAGTTCATCAAGCGCTAAATCCTATTAATGATGTTGCCAATTGAAACCGTTTATTCAAGTATTACATGCAAAAGCAATATTATTATTATTTTAACATATCAGATAATATCTACACCATGCTAATAAACACCAGAAAACATTGATATTTCGTTACATAATTAAATCAAAACGTTGTTTTAGTAAAATAATTAAATTCATAATTCTATTTTTTATCATTTCTGAAATTTCTTATTTGATTTGAACAATAATACTTGTCTATATTTTATTTGTGTCCCAAATAATAGAAATTGTATTCATATAAATAATACTTATATCGATTTCATATTCGTGTAAATATATGCATATCTGAGAATATACTTTATAACGCAAAGATAAATATATATTAAAATTTATTTTTGCATGAATATTAATTCAACATCAATGGAACCATTTAAATTAATTCAATTTAATATCAGTTATTGTAATTGACTGGGTACAGTTGTGCCAGGGTACGGTCGTAACAGTCGCCATATCAGCTAACCTATACTCTGATTTTGACATCGTATAGGGTCCAAGGAGAAAAAATTAAGTATGGTTGCTTGAACCATTAATGTATTCAGTGCGCGCCCTACATTGCAATAATTTTTGACTCTTTAAAAGCAATGCTGTATGCTTTTAAAGAGTCAAAAATAAGTTTTTTCGTTCGATTTCTTCCAATAATAATTGTTCCTTGTATACAGATAGATCACTTATTATTTAGCTGTAATTTGAACATTAGTAGTCAATTACCAGCGATTAGTTTTTGCGTATATAGTTTAGTTCAGTCATAACCATGATTTGTTTTTAAAAGTGTTTATTCATTTATTGAATAAATAATTTTTTAGAATTAGATATCTAATTTTCTAAATTTATCTAAAAATTTTTCAGATTTTTTTTTAATTTAGGAACCTGGGGAGAATACGAAATTTTCTTTGATTATTTTAAGTTGCGTAATTTTATGTGCTTGTTTATTATTCAATTTTATTTTAAGAATTTTAACAATTTAACCAAACATTTCAAAAGACCATATCACTAACCCGATTATCGGATCATTTTTCAATTATATATTTTTGTGCTGAATCTACAATGATAGTAGATTTCTATTTTAACCCTATATGAGCCAAATTCTTCTTGTACAATCAAACAAATTAATTAACAAATTAATCAACGAATTATTTATAAGTCTATAAGCGCAAATAAAAAATATAAAATACTGTTTAAAGAAATTTTTTGGTATCAATGGATTATGCGACTTAAATCACAGCGGCCTATATAGTGTTTGCACTTCTGTGTATGGAAATATTATTTCAGGTTGAAAAGTTTAACAAAAGTCATAAATATTGATCTTGGTTGAGTTAACAACGTTACAGGATTAATATTTTTGCGTCATCTCACGAAAAATGTCATAATTATTTAGTAAAATATCAAACATGGAATGTGACCTGATAATTACGCGAGCCCATAGAGGGTAAAAATAAGTACGATATTCTCAAATTTTGATTTTAGAGCAAATTGCTTGACCTGTAATTTGTAAAACAAATTATAAGTAAACCAACCAAGCAAATCATATAAATATATTTTAATACCTTTCATACAAGATCCTTCATTTCAAGAAATTGTATTTTCTTGAACTCGATTCAACCAAATCACACAGGTCAACAGTTAATTGATTGATAATGTAATGGGAGTCACTTATGCCCAAAGAATGGACCAATCAGAAAATAATATAAAATTGTCAAATTTATGTAAACTAGTAATATTTCAAATTTTACGTAAGTAATATTCCAACATTCAA